TTGTGTGCTAGAAACAATGGCCACCAGGCCAAAGCAATGGTTTTGACTCGATCAGCGTTAACTCCGCCCCCTGAGTTTGATGGGTGAGGCTGACAGATAAAATTATTTCATGATGAGAGCCAGGCGCCAGGACTGCCAAAATGAAATAAATAAATATATCATTAAATAATTAATTAAATGTGTCAATAATTAATTAAATGTGTCAATAATTAATTAAATGTGTCGATAATTAATTAAAATGTGAAATACATAAATAATTAATTAAATGTGTCAATAATTAATTAAAATGTGAAATACATAAATAATTAATTAAATGTGTCAATAATTAATTACATATGTCATATCTATTTATTTAATTAATGAATTCCAATTTTAATTAATTATTGACACATTTAATTAATTAATTATTGACACATTTAATTAATTATTTATGGCAGTCCTGGCGTTCCATACAAGCTGCCAGTAGTTAAACCTTTGCTCAAAAACCCATGACTTAACCCAGCAGTCTTAGCTAATTATAGGCCAATCTCCAACCTCCCTTTCTTTTCAAAAATTCTTGAAAGAGTAGTTGTCAAACAGCTAATTGATCATCCGCAGAGGAATGGCTTATTTTAAGAGTTTCAGTCAGGTTTCAAAGCTCATCACATAGGGGTCGGGTGCATTGTGTGCCGGGTGGCGGCCAGGAGCGGAGGCCCTGGTGGACTGATCCCCGGCTGCCAAGACTGGCAATAGGGACATGGAATGTCACCTCTCTGGTGGGGAAAGAACCTGAGTTAGTGCGTGAGGTTGAGAGGTACCGCTAGATATAGTCGGGCTTGCCTCTACGCATGGCTTGAGCTCTGGAACCAGTCTCCTGGAGAGGGGCTGGACTCTCAGCCGGAAAAGGGTGGAGTGCCCACTCCGGATCGGGGATGAGTTCCTGCCCCAGGTGGCGGAGTTCAAGTATCTCGGGGTCTTGTTCGCGAGTGATGGGAGAAGGGAGCCGGAGATCGACAGACGGATTGGGGCTGC